GGCGGCGGCGGGGGCGCGGGGGGAGCCCCCCGACCCTTGGGGCTGCCCTCCTTGCTGCGCCGGCCGGGGCTGCGGGCGCTGCGGGGGCCGCGGGGGCCCGGCGGGGTCGGCGGCGGCCGCGGCGTCGTCGTCGTGGCGGTCGCGGCGCCCGCCGTCGTCACCGGTTCCACCACCACCGTCTCCCTCGTCTTCCTCTTCTTGATGGGCAGCACGGTCTCCTGCACGGCCGGGGGAGTCGTCGCCTTCTTGTCGGGGCCGCCCGGCCCCCCCGGCCCCGCCGCCCCCGCCGGTTTGCGCCCGCGTTTCTTGGGCACGGCCGGACTGTCCGGCTCGGCCCGGCGCTTGCGGCCCGGCCGCCGCGGGGCCGGCGGGGCAGCGGGGCCCGGCTGGCCCGGGGAGAACGGCATCTTGACCAGCAGCTTGCCCGGCGGCTTCTCCAGCGCCCGCTTGGCCGCGGAGCCCCCCTCGGACACGGCGGCGGCCGCCTTGGGCCGGGCGCCGCCGCCGCCGCCGCCGCTGCCCTTGGGCCGCCCCCGGCCGCGGCCGGTGCCGGGGCCTTTGGGCGATTTGGGCTTCTTGGGCGGGCGCTGCTCGCGGCGCGACGGGCTGCCCCGGCCGGTCACGGTGAAGTCGAAGTCGTTGGGGTCCAGCGAGGTGTCCCCCACCTTCTCGAAGTAGGCGATCAGCTCCACCTTGGAGCGGAAGGCTTTTCCCTGCGGGCTGCGGACGGAGAGCGAGCGGTCAGCGAGCGGTCAGCGGCGATGACCACACCCCGATTCTCCGGCCAACCCCCCACCACGACGCGTGCCGGGGCCTCACTTGATCAGGTAGACGTCGTACTTGCCGGCCGAGCGGCCGGACTTGCGCTGCTTCAGCTTGCGCGTCCAGCCCTCGGGCAGCGTGGGGTCGTCGTACATGGGCCCGCGGTCGCGGATGATGGAGCGCCGCTGCTTCGGCGACGCCGACGCCTCCGGGGCCGCCGGCGCCGCCCCGGCCCCCTCCGAGCTCTCGGCCTTGCCAGCCTCGGCGGGCTCGGCCGCAGGCTGCTCCGGCTCCTTGCGCTCCTTCTTGGGCTTCTTGGCCTTGGGCGGCCGCTGCAGGTTCTCCTCGGACTTCTCCTCCCTGTGGGGACACGCAGCGGTCAGCGGGGGCACGGGGACAGGGGCAGGGATGGACGCACGGACGTGAGGGGCACGGGGCTGCGGCCACGCGAGTCGCTGGGTGTGGGAGGGGTCAGTGCTGGGCTCCGGACACGGCACTGGTCAGGGCTGGACACACGGACAAGGCCCTGGACGCACGGACAGGGCCCTGGACACAGTGCTGGTCAGTGCTGGACACACAGACAGGGCCCTGGACACACGGACAGAGCCCTGGACACAGTGCTGGTCAGTGCTGGACACACAGACAGGGCCCTGGACGCACGGACAGGGCCCTGGACACAGTGCTGGTCAGTGCTGGACACACGGACAGGGCCCTGGACACGGCACTGGTCAGTGCTGGACACACGGACAGAGACCTGGACACACGGACAGAGCCCTGGACAC